CTTTATATGTCTTAACTCATTTAAACCTAACAAATAATGAGGAAGAAATTATTCTTTATCTTCAAAAAGATTTTATTTATTTATTCATGAGAGACACAGAAAGAAAGAGACAGAGAGGTAGGCAGAGGGAGAAGCAGGCTCCATGCAGGGAGCCCGATGTGAGACTTGATCCTGAAACTCCAGGATCACTCCCTGAGTCGAAGGCAGATGCTCAACCACTGAGCCACCCAGGTGTCCAAGGAAGATACTATTCTTACCCACATTTTACAGATAAGGAAGTCCGAGGCCTGAGAATATTCAGAAATTTGTCCAAGGACACATTGCTTGTAGGTAGCAGAGCTGAGATTTGAACTCAGGAACTACATCCATGTGGCCTGTACTCTTAACTGCATTAATCTCTTAGGCATGTGCATTTGTTTTTGTTTTTTTTTTTTTTTTATGTGCATTTGTTTTTGCTTCTGTCCTCTCCCACCTGTACCTTAGGCTGGGTCCCTGGTCTTAGTCCAGGTATTTCTAGGTATTTCCTCCGCCCTCTTCCCTCGTACACAAATCCTTGATGCTTTTTCCCCCATCCACTGTTTGGTGCCCTGTTGGTCCCATCGGCGTCTTGGCCACTAGAGGATGCGAGGAACAGACACTCAGGGACTGCAGAACCATCCTGCAAGGGCTGAGAAAGGGGCTGGATAGGGAGCAGAGGCAGTAAGAAGGATGTTGTCTGTCGTGGAAGAGGTGAGCACCAGACAGTGAGGTGAATTGGAACCCAGACATGGGGATTGGCAGACGAGCTTCTGCTGGGAGAGCCCATCTTTTTTTTTTTTCTTTAAGATTTTATTTATTTATTCATGAGACACACACACACACACAGAGGCAGAGACATTGCCAGAAGGAGAATCAGGCTCCCTGCGGGGAGCCCTGTATGGGACTTGATCCCAGGACTCTGGGATCACGACCTGAGCTGAAGGCAGATGCTCAACCACTGAGCCATTCAGGCATCCTAGGAGAGCCCATCTTATATAAAAAGGCTTCCCTTGCTATCTGAAAGTCATGTTCCAGTGAAATCTTTCAGAAGCTGAAATGGCATAAAGCAGAGAAGCAATTACAATGAATTTATATGGGAAAAAAAATGTTGAACATTCCCAGACTCAAAAAACAACCTCTCTCAGACTTTTCTGATACCTTTGGAACATCTTCTTAATGATGCTCAAGCTAAATCAAGATAAAGCACAGTTCAAAGCTGTGGGGCCTGATGCTGAGATGGTGAGTGTAGCTGCCAGGGAAGGAGCTTGGCAGGGCCACTCTCACTGCCCCTTTAAACCCTTGCTGCAAAACAAATGCTGAATGCCATTTTCACTGGTCTCCTTTGTGGGTTTTTTTTTTTTTTTTTCTTGGTCATAAAAGTGAAAATCCTCTTTGGGTTTCTTTCAGTTAGCAAACACAGGTACTTAGGTCTTCCATAAATGTGAAGTGGTGTGATGTGAGCTTCAAAAAAGCAGGGATGCCTGTATTTCGCTCTTCTCACAAGGAAGTGGGGAAGTTGGGGAGGATTAGAGAACAGTGTGGCGGTAGGTGGGAAACCAACTTCTTGCTCCTCCATTGTCTATACTATCTGGTTTCCCCAGAACTGAGGGCTTCCAGAAGGTACAGTGAGAAGGCTCTACTGTTGTCTCCCACTCCCCTGCCCAGCACCACATCTCCCCTATTCATCCCATATGCCTCATATTCTAACAATGGAACCTTTGGGTCTCTTAATTAAGTTGGAGATCTGAGTGATATACAGATTAGCATGATGAGTGGTCAGAATTTCTGTTTGGATAGTACAGTGGGATTTAGATGGCAGGGGATATCAGAAAAAAAATGTAAAAGGACTTCACTCTGCTATAACCAACCTCATATTGACTGATGATAGATTTACCGTTTTTAAGAGTTGAATACTAATTAGGATGCATAGTCAAATAAATTGTATTGCTTTTAAATTAGGACTTGAGCTAGGAGCATGGAGATTTGTTTTGTTTTACCCTGGGGTGCTAGAACAGTATAAATTGTTCAGCTGGAATAAGAACTTCATGGATATATCCTTTTCACTTTAAAGGCAAAGCTTTGCCTATTTATTCGTATAGATAGCATGTGTACTTTCCATTAATGATGATGATACTTTATTAACCAGCTCATTTAAGCTCAGAGCTCTGGTCAATTTACCTAAAAGATTCCAGGGACCTGTTAGTTCTACTCTTAGAACCATCTGTGCTGATATGGACAGAGCGCTGGGCTGGGAATCCGAGACCTCAGTCTCCCTTCAGACTCTCTCCCCCTTGTGTGCACTATTGGGCCAGTCACTTCTCTGAGCTGTCAGTTTCCTCATCTATAAAAAGGCCATTATTGATTTTATAAAATCAGGACTGTGGTGAGGATTACAAAGTGAACACAGGTTGCCAGGCAAAGCTCAGGTTTTAGATTAATCTAATCCTTCTCTGCTCCTTTGCGTGGGTTGCTGAACATACTGGAGCAAGCCATTCAACCGTGCACACTGGTGCAGCTGCAGACTTCTGAAATCTAATATCATCTGGACCCACTGGACTCCCCATTTGCAAAGCCTTTTACATATTCTTGTTGAGCACTCACTTTGCTTTCCTACAATGATTATTCTAATCCTTGGCTATATTTAAAGTTCTCCATATCCCTTTCCTCCAAGAGTTAGTTGGTATTTTTTTTTAAGATCTTTATTTATTTATTCATGAGAGACACAGAGAGAGGCAGAGACGTAGAAGAAGGAGAAGGAGGCTCCTCACAGAGAGCCTGATGCAGGGCTTGAACACAGGACCCTGGGATCACGCCCTGAACCGAAGGCAGATGCTCAACTGCTGAACCACCCAGGCGTCCCCAAGAGTTAGTTTTGTTCAGTTTTCAGGGGGAAAAAAAACAACCCAGAAATAAAAGCCAAAGCTGTATAACAAAAGAATTTATACAATATTATCTATTCTTGAAGGAAAAAAAGCATAGAAAAGAGACTGGAGTGAAATATGCCAGAATGTTAGGCATATGTTTTGTTTTGTTTCTTAATCCTTCTCTGTGCTTTTCAAGTGTTCTATTACAATGTATATTACATAATGTTTGCAAAATAATGGAAAAAAAACAGGAAACAGAAAAACTACAATTTGAGGAGCTACCACTCACCTGTTAATTTATCCCCCACCCTTTTCTCCCATCTTGTTCCCAGCCTGAACCAAGGGGTCTTTCTCTCTCTCTTTCTCCCCATCCAGTGCTAACTTAATCATCTGTGCTATTAATTCTATATTCTCTTGCCTTCTCAGAGATCTTGCCTTGGCTTTAGATAAACTTTTCCCCCCACATTCAAACTTCCATTCCTTTTTCATCTATTTTTATTCACATATAAATATGCTTAGTCCCCTCCTGTCTTAGCAAACAAACTCCCCAAGCTCCAATTCTACCTTGACTCCACTCTTAACTCTAGACCCATACCTGTTTTTCCTTCTATAGCCTAAATTCTGGAAAGAGTCTGAATTCTAATCTCTAAATCCTCATCTCAACCCATTGCAGTCTGGCTTCTTCCTTAGTAACATCCTTAACATTGCTCTTGCCACGATCTCTAGTGACATAGTTGTCCTGTCTTAGTCTTCACCTTACTTTTCTCTTCATACTTTGTTCAGTACAAATACTGCTACTTTTGTGACGCCCTCCTTGATTTCTCCCATGGAAGGCTCTGATGCTTTTTTCCCTGTATTCTCCCTGTCTTGTATAATTGTTTTCTTGTACTCGAATTTATATATTTCTATTTTAGATTATAAGGTTGTTGGGGCAGGGAATATAACTTTTTTTTTAGTTTTTTAAAAAGCTGTGAAATATAATGCACAGAAAAATACATTGATCAAAATTTAGAGCTACTGAATAACCATAAAGTGAACGTTTGTGTAACTATTACCCCAGTCATGGAACAATGTATTTTCAGGACTCCAGGAGCCCCTTGTGTCCTTTCCTGACACCACCTGTTCCCCCTACTGTCTTGGGTTTATGACACTCAGTTTTCTTCATAGTTGCACTGCCTGGATATGCATTCCTAAACAAATCGTTTAGTTTTACCTGCACTTGAACTTTTTACAAATACCATCATGTCACGTGATCTGTTCTGTTTTGCTTCTTTCATTGAACGTGGTATTTGTGTGATCCATCACACAAATGGATGTTGTATGTTATTATATTTCTTCATTTTTATTGCTGTACAATGGCATTTCATATATGAACTTCCAACATGCAATGTATCTAGTCATGGACATTTGGTTTATTTCTAGTTTTTGGCCATTATGATGCTTCAAATACCCTGTACACTTCTTTGGGCCCCCATGTGCCTGAATTTCTTTGGGGTATAGATCCAATAGTAGAATTACCTGTCATAGGATGCATATGTCTTTGACTCTACCAGATAATGCCAAACTGTTTCTCAAAGTAGGTGTCTCAATTTGCATCGCACCAGCTGTGTAGAAAGTGCCCATTGCTCTATGTATATCTCTGCCAACATGTGGTAGTATTGGACTTAAAATTTTTTTATCAACACAAATGGTGTAGAGTAGTATTTTACTATGGTTTTAATTTGTATTACCCTGTTAGCAGTGAGGGTGAGCACCTTCATGTATTTATTGGCCAGCTGGATTTCCTCTTAGCGAAAGACCCATTCAAGTTTTGTTCACTTTTTTGTTGTTGTTGTTGTTCACTTTTTTAGTGGGTTGCTTGTCTTTATTTTCTTGCTTTGTAAAAGTGATTTTACATTTTGGATATGAGATTTTACATTTTGGATATGAGTCCTTTGTTGGTTGTATGTGTTGAAGATAAATTATACTATAAAATCATACACATTGAAGATTTATGGATTACAGTATTTTTTATTCTTTACCTTGATTGCTAGTAACTAAGTAGAAACAGAGTAATTAGAAAACAAATTATAGTGTATGTTGCTTCAATTAATCCTGTCCTTCCCTTCTTCTCCCTAGGTGTCATTATTGTTCCCAGTGCCGGTGTTGGTATCGTTTTGGGAGGCTACATTATAAAGAAATTGAAACTTGGTGCAAGAGAATCTGCCAAACTAGCCATGATCTGCAGTGGTGTGTCTTTACTGTGTTTTTCAACCCTATTCATTGTTGGATGTGAAAGTATTAACCTAGGAGGAATAAACATCCCTTATACAACAGGGTAAGTATCTTGAAAGAGCCATTTCATGTCATTCTAATCATGAATGATGTGCAGGGCCCTATAGTGTTGGTACCCCAGGGTCGGTTCCCCTCTCCAGGTGGGTCTCTGTGCTTTCATCTCCTCAGGTGGATCACGCACTTGTGGAGGGTAGGGGCCATGATCTCTCCTTTATCCATGCCCCTTTCGACCCTTACAGAGTGCCTTCCATAGTATTTTGGTTACAGTGGATGAGGAGGACATGCTTGGGCGGTTAAAGAAAATTGTTTTTTTTTTAATGCCACATGTTGAGTAGACAATACCTTCACATAGTCTAAAAACATAAAATTCAATGAAAATACAGTGCACAATGAAAAGTCTGGCTCTTACCCAAGTTCAACACCCCATTTCTCCAATCAAAGACAAACCAGGTATAACCACTTTGATTCATTTCTTGTGCATCCTTCCAAGGCTTCTTTATGTAAGAAACTATGAATATTTGTTTAAAATATTCTATACCCAAAAGGTAGCATTTTATACATACTTCTCCCAGCTTAAAAAGAATGTAACAATATAGCTTGGAGATCTTTCTGTGCCAATAATAATAATACAAAGCATAGCTAACCTTTATATCGATGCTCTTCTCATACTTTACATATATTAATTCATTAATCCTCATGACAACCCTATCAGGTAGGTTCTATTATTATCTTGATTTTACAGATGCAAAACTGAGGTACAGAAGACACATACTGGTGGTATGCTGATAATATATAACACGTGGTGGCTAAGAAAGAAGTTCCAATCTGTAGAATTTGCCGATTTCGGAGGTGTAAATATCTCACCATGGCTGATATCAAGCTAACAATGTGAAGATACTGAACACCAATCTGGGAGAAGATGCCCAGTCATGTACCATTATATAATGTTTCTCTCATACAGATATTTAGACCTAAATAGCCTAGTCGAGACATAGATAAGTATAGTAAGATAACTAGGAGGTAATGAATTGAATATTTATTTGTTTGTGATATTTATTTAATTATAAGTATATGTAATTTAATTTTTAATAATGGCTGTGCCAAGAAAATAGTTGACAAAATCCTCGAAAATTGAGGATTTTGTGACCTAGGGTGGCTGCGCTTCGTGTTACATAGAACTTAATCGGTACTTAACCACAAACAATTCAGAGTTCATGCCTTTAAGCACTTCTTTTAACTACCATGTAACATTCCATTTAATTCTATTTTGTAATTTAACCAGTCTCTATTTGAAAGGCATTTTCCAGTTTTTAGTCGTTAAAAATAATGCTACAATAAATAACCTCATGCATACATCACTTCTCCTGTGTGCCAGGTATTTGTAGGATAAATTCCCAGGAATGAGATTGCAATGAATATTGCCAAATTTCCTCCCCAGGTGTTGTATTAATTTGCTCCCTCACCAGCAATGGATTTTGAGGATCGATTTCCTACAGCCTTTCTAAGAGAAGGTGGAATGTTCTCCTTGGAGAGTTATGAAGACTGTAACTTTCATTTCCTGAGTACGTTCAGTTTGTTAGGATCTACTCATTGGACCTTCAGTGCCTAGATTTTGGTGCTTGCTGCCAACAAACACCGTTTCCTTTTGATTTTTAGTGAAGTTTTATCTTATAAAATGTTCCACTTGAAATTTGAATACGAAAAGCTTTAATTTCACTTACCCAACCTAGAACATCAGAAAGAAAAAAAGAGGAGCTGTTAGTCAGAGATTATGTAGATGACAGAGTATGGTCACTTGTATCAGGAATTTTTTTTTTTTTCATCAGGAATTGTGTCTGGATGGTGCATGGCTGCTTTTAGTGCCTATTAGAATGGCATAGGAAATAAGATCTTGAAAAATTTAAGGGCGATATAGGATAAGGGCCCAGATTCCTGAGTTAAATCTGAATTCACATCTTCACTAAAAGCCTCAGTATCCTCATCTGTAAAAGAGGATGATGATAATAGTGTCTTAATCCCATGGACTACTGAAATAGGATAGCGTAGCCTGAGGCTTAGAAACAGCATAAATTTGTTATTCACTGTTCTGGAGTTTGGGATTGGGGTACCTGCAGATTTGGTGTCTTGTGAGGCTCCACTTCCTGGCTCATAAATAGCCATCTTTTCCCTTGTCTCCCCATGGTGGAAGAGGTGAGGCATCTCTCTAGAGTCCTTATAAGGGCACCAATCGCATTCATGAGGGCTCCACCCTCACGACCTAATCACCTCTCAAAGGCCCACCTTCCAAATACTAACACTGGCGGTTCATTTTCAACCCATGCATGTTGTGGGAACCCAAACATTTAGTATATGGCAATGAGAATCACCTTAGAGTCGTCAGGTAGGGGTAGTATGAGCAACATATGTAAATCTCTCAGCTCGATGCCTGGCCCACAGTAAGTGCTCACTGAAAGTTAGCTGTTGTTATCAGTCATCACTAATAAATTAAGAATAATTTCTGCTTCTATCAAATGATTTTTATTACAGTTGGAAAATAAATAGGATTAAGAAGTTAGAAACAAAAAACTAATAGTCCCCTGACCAATCCTGCTTCCTAGGGCAATAGTTTTAAATTATTTTTAGCTGTCTCTTCTGGTATTTACCTCTATAGTTTTAAGACAAAATGCATAAATTAACTAAACTGGGACATTATTTATGACTTCCTTAGTAAATGAAGAGTTCAGCTTTCCCTTCATATATGACATTGATTTTTCTCAAATTCATCGTTGTCTTATTTTCATTTTCTTGGTTTTCTCTGAATGTGTGTCTGGCTTCCTATACTCTCTGAGGGCTCAAAATATCTTGCCATGATTTTTCACCTTTCTGATGAACTCATGATTCCATTTCCCATGCCTTGGAGTCGTCTAAATCAAAGTCCTAGTGCCCACACTCTAATCGGACACAATGCACCCTGGGCCTGCTACCCAGCTGGCACCCTGGGAACTCCATTTGCTTTTGTCTGTATCTTGTTCTTTTTTCGATGCGCTCTGTGGATGCCTCTTTTTTGGCTCCTCTCTCATTTTTTGAGAGCACACCCTCTACTAGATACGGGAAGGCTATACTGGCTGTAACTTTTTTGTTTTGAAGACTTTTCATGAGATGGTTTTTAAAAAAACCTATTATATTTGATTGTCAGTTGGCTGGGTAAAGAATTTTAGATTGGATGAATCATTTTCCCTCAGAATATTGAAGTTATTACTCCATTGTCATCTGATTTTTCATGCTATTGTGGGAAATCTGCCTTTTCTTTTTGCCAGTCTTTCCTATGTGCCCTATGTTTCTTTTCTAGGAGCTTCCAGTTTACTTCTGGTATTCCTGAGTTTCACCATGATGTACTTTGGATTGTGTGTGTGTGTGTGTGTGTGTGTGTGTGTTTTCTTTTTCTCCCTCTTGAGCACTTAGCTTTATTGTCTGGAAACTGTGTCCTTCAGTTCTATTTTTATTTTTTATTTAAATTTTGTTATTTTTTGTCACTGCTTTTTCTCTTCTCTTTCCTTCATTGATCCTCTACTTATTCTTCATCACCTATTTTTATCTCATTTTTATCCTATTTTTGGAAAGGTTTTTTTTTTGAGCTTCGTTTTTTTCAGTCTTCTGCTAAATCTTTATCTTGAATATTGTACTTTTAACTGCCACATTTCTTTTTTGATTTTTGATTGTTTCTTGCTTTTAGTCCTCTTGCTTCATGAGTGGAATATCTTCTGTTACTTCTCCAATATTATTAAGAATTTCTTTTCCTTTCTGAATTGTCTATGCTGTCTGCTGTCTCTTTATTTTGCTATCTCAATTATGTTGGAAGTTTCCCTTGCATTTCTGTGATCCTTAGCTTTCTCTTAGTATTGAAGAATAGGAATTTAAAGAGCTGAGTAGGTGCTCTGTGTTTGATGACAGAGCTTGTCATTTGGTGCATCTCACTGTTAGGTCATTTCATTGGGGTGCTGGATGTCAGAACTGGAGGTCTTACCTCTGGGGTGCTTTGGCTCTTCAGGAGCAGAATTCTCCTGTCTCTTGGCTGAGGCTGTGTTGGGGTGTGTTCTGGGTTGTAAGCCTACCTGCTGGCATTCTAGAACTGGGAGTGGAGTGGGATGGGAAAGGGTCTGGGTCCTTCTGGTCATTCTGTAGATTTTTACATGATTCCCCTGCCACAATTCTAGCATCTCACCAAAGGTCTCCTTATGTGTGATGCTCTAAAGTCCATATAGCCTTTGGTTCATTTTTCTGCAGAAAATATAGAGGAAGAAGAAAGAGTAGCCATCTACTATCTAGGGTGGAGACAGGATCTGCTTAAAATTGTATCGTATTTGGGCCACCCTATTTCTTGTGTTGTCTCTTTAGAACTCCTTGAGTTCTAAAAATGTGTTCTTTCCTCGACTACTGGCCTTTCCCATGCTCTTGTATATATTTTAAGTTTTTAATGTACTTTATTAGATTCTTCTTTTTCCATAATCTTGCATCAGTTGAACTAGCTGGTCTCTAGGCATAATTTATATCTGGGAACTTCCTTTCATGGATCTCAATTGTATCCACTATTTTTTGTTTGGTTGTTTATTTATTTATTTAACTCCTTGTTTTGCTGGAGAAAAATACCAAGATACCATCTGAGGAAAGAGGACATGGGAAGAAAAACTTTCTGAGCCTGTCAGTGTATTACAGTGACTATGTGCTTCTCTCACACTTAATGATAGTTTGAATGAGTATAGAATTATAGGTTGAAAATTACCTCTCTGAGAACTTGGAAGCCATTGCTTTGTCATCGAGCATCTAATGTTGCTAACAAGAAGTTAAACTCCCATCCTAGCTCTCATTTGTCTGTGGCCAACTTTATTTGGAAGTTTTTAGGACATTTTTTATTCAAGGTGTAAATATCATAAGGAATGGTTTATCCTCTGATTTTGTCTTGGTTGGGCCCTTCCAATGTCACTTTCTCAGAGAGGCTGCTCCTCCCTGCCCAATCTGAGGGAGCTCACTCTCTTCTCATTCTTTATCTGTCACTTCTCTTTAGTC